TATGATTTATTATGTTAGGCTGGATGATGTGCCTAACAAATGTACATATTTTATCTAATATATATATATACATATTTATGATGACGTGTGAAAATGAAATTTAAAATACTTGAACGTAAAGATGACTCTGAAAGAAATGTTACAAATAGGAAAGTATTATTCCCCTTCCCTTCGTAGAGTACAACCCCTAACAGTGAACGACATGTTATCACGTAAAGTTATCATCCGTAAAACGACTTTACAGACAATAATTTTTTAACAGCTTTAAGTGGTTTGTACAGCTAACACATCTTCTAGGCCATAACTAGCCATCTATCTATCTTTCTCAAAAGGATGAGTTAGTAAAAAGAACTTTTATTATCTGGAATTTGAGTTGTTGCAATTTATTCGTATTTATGACTTTTAAAATACAGGTACATGTGTTACTGAAGTTGATTAATATTTCAATATAATGAATTTACAATAAAGATTATTTAATATTTTGCTTTTCCTCAATTTAAAAGAATACATTTTGCATTTGTTATTTTATTATGAGAGTTCTTCTGTAAGTAGGTAGGTACGTACGTACACTTGCTGTTTCATAAAAAAATATTCATCATTATTCATTGCGATATGTATGTATACACCTATAAATGTAGAGTTTATTACTTATGTTTATACGAATTATAATTTTTTCTTAAAAAAATAGATTTGTAAATATTTGTAAACATCAGACTTTCTGTGAACAGTAAGAGGTTTGTTTTCTGTAAGTAACATATTAAGTGACACATTACACTATTCGTGAGCACAAAACTAGCTTAATTACCAGTTAGTTGGAATTATGTATTCAGGACACAGGAGTCGGTCTATCTCCTCATCTCTGGAGACGGACGGGTCTATTTTTATCGCTTAATGCTAGTCAGTGCAACGAGTCAACGACCACTGTGCTGTGCAACGCCTCGGATGTTCTTCTGAAGTCAACGACCTTGATAATTGAACTGGCATCAATTATCAACAAACGTTCTAAGAAAATCAAACAAAAAATAGTAACAAGTGTTTGATTGCTGCGTCGAAATTCCTAAAGACCGTTAGTCAACGAAACGATTGTTTTTTTCGTGCTGGTATGGTACGTGGCCATTGTGATGTTTTTTGATTGTGTAATATAATATTTCAGTTTTTAATTTTATACAAGGTCATTTATATGTTACTGGTGAGTTAAAAAAAGAAGTTATTTTTCTGCCAAATATTTTCACGTCAAAAAGTTTATATATAATTTCTGTCTTTTGACGAAAACAAAGTAATTTTACAGATAATACCTGCTGATATTTGGTAGAGACAATGAATACAATATAACTTCAATATCAATAAAAATTATATCCGTATTTAATAGCAGATCTATAATATAGTATGGATAATATTGAGCAAAGATCGGGCAATCAATGAACTCCGTTTTGACTTTCCCTGATGTGCCATCGAAGTACACTTTATTTTAATTCTCTTTTATCCTTTTAATCTTTGAACTTTTTTTGTATTATTTTTATTTCGGTTGTCAAATCGTTTATATTCATCAACTATTAGGCGGTACGAAGTTCGCCGAGTCAGCTAGTTTTGGTATAATAAATTCGGACTCTGCCCGTTTCTCTGATAATGGGTTTTTGCGATATATATTCCACTATTAAGTAGAACTAACTTCACTGAGCTCGTAATGGGAATTATTATAGAAATGAATAATTTTAGAGTGAAAGCAACATTTTTGTCTTGTCATCGTCTAAGTATGCGTCATTCAAGAGAATTCAATTAAACTCATATTAGTGAATCGTTTTGCACCTATAACTGTACGAGTAATAAGAAATATATTATAGAATTGTAGTTTTTGTTATTTTTGTCACTAATTAAATAATTAAGAAAATAGAAGAGATTTTAATTAAGTTATATTAACTACTAATTATTATAAAAAATTCTATTTGTTATTTTTCGATTGAAAAAGACATTATCTAATTTTCGGTTAGATAATGTCTTTGTCTGCGAACATGCATTAATTTTGGACAGTTTGTGATCGAATTACTAAATTGCGCTAAAACATGATCATAATCTATTCAGTAAACTTAAGGTATGACTTATTTGTTTATTATTACAGCCTTTTCATCATTTAAACAAAGTTCTATTTATATAAATATAAAAAGATGAAATCAATTTTCTTGCACCGAAATGACGTTGATGTCTTTAGTTTAAATAGTAAAAATGAAATAGGGGCAGCCGCAAACTGAAGTGATGAATATTTTATACACACAAATAGCACGCATCATTGTTGTGCGATTTTATTTCCGTTTCATAAGTGGCTTTTGGTATCGAGAACTATCGATAAAAAAAACAGATAAACTAATAATTATATTAGATTTTCAATTATGATGCAATACCAGTACAGCGCTACCAATTATAGTTACGAGTAGTACAATAAAGAGAACAAAGCACGGACGTTATACGATTTTTGGGCATTCGTTTATACGTTACGAACCTATAAGGCTTCGTAAAGATGTATGTTACAAAGTTCATGTTTTCTCCTTGTCTGACACATTATTGCGTCCTGCTCGCACGCGGAGGCTACGTCATCGCAGAAACTAGCCAGCCAATTGACCGGTATACCGCCAACCTTCAGTTTTTCTTTTATTTATAACTCGCTGTGGCTGGATAAGTTATGATGCGTTTACACGAACGAGTTCACTTGCTTGTTCAAATTATGTTGTCTTTTCGCAAATTCATTGAATATTATATCCAGGAGTTACCGCAGTCGTGAAGGAGCTACTGAGAAACTTACTTTCCCAAAGACCGGTTATTAAAAGGGAAGAATAAGGTATTAGGTTTTATGATGTATTGTGCTATACTTAAGAAGGTATGCCAAGCTCCCAAGCTGTTGGTCCTTCTTGCTCTTCACTCTTACGGGAACGCATCCCTCATTTCCCAACAGGGTCAACATGAAGTATTTAAATATATGTATGTTGTTCACATATATCTTCTATCTATTTAGTTTTGTTAAAATAAAGTTTTTGGCGGCCCCATTTTAATTTGGTAAAGATCTAATGAGTACCTTCGGAGACGAACAACAGAGCTCCTCAATTCGAGTGGAAACAATTATTCATTCCGAGTTTGTAATTTTAAGAAATATGATTGAGATAATGCAGCCAGGTACTTCATAAAAATAAAACCAGTAAAAAATAAGATTTAATAATAATACCTTCTTTTCAGATAAATACAATGTTTAATATCAAGCAGTTACAAACTTAAAAAAAACAATGTTTCTTAAAGATTTTGTAATTAAATTGATGCCACGACAACTTCATCTGTATCTCTCAAGTTGAAAAAGGCCTCCACCAATTCTTTCCACTTTTTTTTTGGATTTTGTCACTGCCCACTTACGTTAGTACAGGTAGTATCCAGGTATCAAAGAGTTTTCTCTTGATGAATATACAACATTCTTTATTTTTCTGAATCTCCTTCTATCTCCGATATTGTTTCCAAGCATTACCAAAGTGACTGTCGATTTCTTTTGAAGTTTTTGATGTTGAGACTATACAAATGGATGTCTTCATCGACGTTTTCAATTGAGTCATTGCTGATCCAAATAGGCTCCTGCCTCCGGTTTGCCTTGGTTTTTTTGTGAGTTCATGACTAAACCTACTTAGCGGCATTCTTTATCTAGGTCACTAAACATTCTCTCCAGACCTTCTTACGTCGGGGAAATGATTATTAAGTCATCTGCAAATCTTAAATGTGATAGGTTCTTACCATGAATGGACAAACCACATTTCTCCCATCTAATTTATGAAATATCATTTCCAGAACACCTGTGAAGAACATTAAAGTGAAATTAACATTCGTAGTCGGTTTATGCACATATACATGTTGATAGATATGAGTGAATATCCTGGTTCGGTTGGACAGGTACTGATAAATTTTGAGAGAATAAAGAACCTTGCACTCCTTTTTGATCAGGCGTGTTAAATTAATGCTAATAATGATAGCGATAAGACCCAAATATACAGACAACAAGCATATAAGATAGCACATCGCCAATCAATACTTTATATTTACTGACGATAACATTTTCAGATAAGATATCTTTTGTATGAAAACAACTTCGTTGAAGTTGTATAAATTGGAGTTATCATATTTTATTAAAACAGCAATTTTTTCTTCAAATTGTTTCGAGGGCAATGAATTTCTTCACCAAGCATACTGAAGAGATAATTCTATTATACACGCTTTATATGTTTGCGGACGCAAGCACTGACGACTTTTATGCTATTATGCGTAAAAAAGTCGCGTCACTGGTGCATCGGCTGCGGGGAGGTTGTAACAGAGTCCTGAGTATGTTAGCAAATAGAATGGACTCCTCTCTGCTCGGTCAGTTCATCAAACTACATGTTTGGTGACCAGTGGGCCAATCGCCTAACGGAAATGCTTTGGAAAACGCTAACGCTTACGATTTTATTTTGTTATTTCTAGCCGCCTGAGGTATTCCAATGCCTCGCGCTCTTTCTTTTTCTTTTGCATTGGTAATAACAATATTAAAAAAAATGAGCGTGAGGTATTCGAAAACCTCAGGCGGCTAGAAATAACAATATAAAATCGTAAGCGTTAGCGTTTCCCAAAGCATTTCCGTTAGGCAATTGGCCCCCAGGCCGAGGGGAGGGTGCAGTTAAATTAATAAATTTTAATTATTTTAATTTTGAAATTATTTATTTTAATTATTTTTATACAGAATGATGACTGAAATTGAAATTGTAATGAAATACTAACATAGGTTAAGAAAAATTTTTACTAACATATATGAGACCATGTCCTAAAATAAAAGCATTTTATTTTATTATTTATTTTATAAATCGTTGCAAAGAGTTATTTTATCATGATCATTTTGACTTAATGTTCATTTAAATTTATGGCTTAAAGATACCAGATGATAGAATGTAGAAAATATTTGACATTATGCTGATATTTTTTTGACTTTAAAGTTCACATTCTCAGTGTTATCATTTGTGGTTTTAGTTATTATGACTGCGATTATGACGTCACTCGTTCCACTACTCGCGCCAGCCGATTGGTAATGTGAACGCAGCATTATACGGTTTAATGAACGACCGACTATGGCGGCGGCGTGCGGCGCGAACACAGTGCGCAGTCGGCCCCGAGCAACAGGCGGCGCGCGCGCAACTTGCGTTCATGAAGTGAAAGTCTGCGTGACTCACCAGCTGCAGCCATGAACGAGTATGCCGAATACGGTTGGAAACTGCATCAAATGCAGAATGAGCGACTTTGTGGACCTACCAGAAAACGATTGACAGATGGAGATAGGCAACGTGCTCTCGTTGGCTTGAAGGAGGCCGTCGATTCAAGTCTCAACCTCGCCTTACGCGACAAAAGCCGATGCCAAGACGACAACTTCCTGCGGAGGTTCCTTTATGCGTGTAAACACGATGTGCAACAGAGTTTCGAATTATTGGTGCGCTACCACCAATTCAGACGGGATCACCCTGAACTGTGGGCGACACCCGATGGAGGTGTACTCCGTGCCTTAGCTGATGGACTTCCTGGAGTGCTCACCGAGCGAGATCGTCGAGGTCGTTGTGTACTATTGATGTTTGCTTCGAATTGGACACCTCACGCCTGTTCTCTTCTCTCTGTGCATAGATCTTTGCTGCTCACATTAGAACGCACACTCGACGATGTACAAAATCAAGCAAATGGATACGTGATAATCGTGGATTGGACTGAGTTCACTTTCAGACAATCGTGTAGTTTACAAGCGAAAGTGTTGAAGTTAATGATTGACTGTATACAGGACTGTATGCCAGTTCGCTTTAAAAGCATACATTTTATAGGTCAACCGTGGTATGTGGAAACAGCGTTGGCCGTAATAAAACCTTACCTCAAAGCGAAAACGCGGGAACGTATCGTGCTCCATGGGAACAATTTGTCGACTCTTCATGATTCTCTACCATTAGACATTCTTCCAGCTGAATTAGGAGGTGAGGGTCCATCTTACAATTCGGAGAGGTGGATTCAAGAATTTTGCCGCGGTGAAAATATTTGCCCCGCACCTGTGGCGCCAGTGTCAACGGTTGCTCCACAGGAAAACGAACCACCCACTGCAAAATTAGACAAAGCTTACATACAAAAGGACAGTGCAAATTTCTCGTTTCACGGCAGCGAAAAAAGTGCAAAATCAGAGTTACTACGTGATAAAGATTGATTCTGAAGTTCTGATCGATCGCAACGGTGAAATGGACGGCTCCCTGTCTGGTCACGCTTGTGGCGACGTATGTACCAATGTGTATACGTGCTCCGGACAGATTATGTGATATCGTGTGTATTCTTAATGCTAATTTATTGTCCAGAGACTGTAGAGGGTAAACGCCTCATTAGAAAGCGTTTCGTATATGGCCAGGTGCATTTATATGGTCTCGGACTTAATGGCTCCACTCGGTCGGTGGATATTCGTTTCGGTTGGTGGTCATATATTTAATGAGTCAGCGCAGTTTTGTCTGGCGGGCGGGTGGTGCGGCGAGGTCGACGCATCCCCGCGCTGCATCGCCGGCGCTCGCCGCCGTGCTCGCGCGCCATGCGCCTCTCTCGCTAACACATGTAACGGTGCCGAGCTCTCATTTTGCCGCATCCGCTCGACTCAAGAGCACCGCATTCGACTTGTCGTTGCATCAAACTGCTCTCAGCTACTTTCTTACTTTACTCTATTATAATTATTATTTATTATCACCTAACCAGTACTTGTAGTAAAAAATATCTCATTTATTATAGCAAATACAAGATTTAATTATAGCTTTGCTCACGAGGCTTGTTGCGCATTTATTATGATTATAATGTTAGGTCCATGTTTAGAAAATAATACAGCGATGATGTGAAATATTTTAATAATAAGTATCTATTGTATTCGATTGTTGTTCGTCAGTCATCCTGTGTGGTGTGTTAAGTCTATGTTTTGTCATAAATTATTTTGTGTGTGCTATTGTATGTACTTACTAACTGGATAGGCCTCGCTCGATGTAAGAAAATGTTGATGCTCTCTTCCATTATAATGATTAATTTATATTACGATCATTATTAGCTGTATAGACAGACGACTGCTGTGACACTAGCTTATACAGTAATCTAGAATAGTAAGTAATATTTAAGAAACCCACTAAAATGTTGATTGGAGACCATGGCAATATGAAAAATTCCAATTAAATCAGATATAGATACCTATTGAAAACTGATATTCAATAAATGTATCAAACACAAAATTTTTCTTTGTTGTTATTTGATGAAGAAATCTTTAGTCACATCAATATTCAAGTTTAATACGTCAAATATTAAACTTATTCTAGAATTTGCTCTACGAAAACAGTGGAAAAATAATTGAACTTGAAAAATCGATTTACTCAAAGAAGTAACCTACTCATCCATAACATTATTGTAAACAAACCACGCGCCGCGGCGGCGCGACTGACAATACAAGTAGGTTCTTTATTCATGCTAGATGGACGAATGCAGATTGTTTAACACGATCCATCGATCAATGAGATCAGTGTTATCTTTCTTAGGCGATAATGTTATGAATTTATCAAGCTACCAATGATACTTATGAGTACGTTCGTTGTCCACAATAGAAACTTATTGAAGCGAATACTCCTCAGAGAATTCAACAATAGAATATAAGAATTAACGAGGTCCTATAAACAAAGATCTCTAAAATTTAGAGAGCTTTGTTTATAATATTTATAAAGTATTATTATTCGAATTTGAAATGAGGTCAGTATACCGAAAAGAGAGACGCCTAATGTAGGTAGGCGATTCAGTGCTAACGTCTGATTAGCATTCGCTTTAGAATGGTCGAATTAATTTGCATTATGAGTCAGTTAATACCTTAGTGGTTAAGTATGTAGATCATAAATAATTCAGATGATCCGTTTCATTTATAAATAACATTTATGCAACAAGAAAACTTTTGTGAATGAAGTCATCTCCGCCCGATTATTGAAAAAAACATTTTGTTCAAAATGAAAAAGGAGTTCTTCCCAATTAACAGTTATCGGATAGGTGACGAAAAATATATAATTTATGTAGTATGTAGAAGATTTTCTATCTGCCTTTTTCTTTAGAATTTACGTCAAGCTATTAGCCCTGGCAGCCAGTGCCGTCTTTGGCCTATTGGAGGCCCTGGGCATATTAGGATAATGGGGCCCCTATGAACTAGGGACTTTGTATTTGATCTGATGGGGGCCCCTATTGATCGCGGGACCCTGGGCACTTGCCGAAAGTGCCCACTGGGAAAGACGGGTCTGCTGGCAGCATCTACAGAAGTTAGAACTAACCAAACCGCACTTGACCCACCAGTGGCCTGAACTCTATCAAAAGGTACCCTAAAATACTGATGTAATGTTATAGAAGTGAAGGTGTGTAAAATATCACAATCGATTTGGATTTAAAAAAAGGTAAGCCATTCATAAAAACAATAATAATAGATATGAATACCATAGTGCACACACGTATAAGTACGCAACCGTTTACTTATGTGTACGTTATAAATTTCTCTTGTCAAAACTAGACAGAGTAATTGCTTAGATTGGTTTAGATATAATTAATTCAATTATCATGTTATGTAACCGAAACGCCATTTATGTCGAGGTCGACAACGAGTGAGGTCAGCTCAACAAACGGATTATCACCATATTTCCACGAGATTATAGAACCAGTAAAATATTAAATAGAACGTATTCATTCTATTGGAAATTTATGGTTTTTATATGTATAGGTAGGTAGGTATTTTATTTTTTCATTCTTATCTTTTCAACATCATACCATAACAGAACGATGTTCATCATCATCAGCCTATTAATGTCCCCACTTCCTAATGATAATTTTCTTACTATACACTGTTTGAAGTGACTTTCTAGGTACAACGATTGTTCATGTAATAGAAAACTGCTTACCGTATGAATAATTATAGAATTTAATATTTTAGAATGCATTAATAATATAATTGTAATAGTGAATTGATCACTTCCGATGTAATTATCTTACTTTTGAGCATTGTTACCTACATAAGTAATTAGGAATACTGTTAACAAAAGTCTCATAGTAATTACCTCAATGATTGCTCAACGTGTTGACTTTTTTTTAGTTTTTGATTGTCCGTAACGAAATAATAACATTAAGAGTAAATTTTATGGAACACGATTGATTAATTATTATTAATTTTGATTTGCTAGGCATTTTACATAAATGCCCGCTATGGTGGTAATCGAGATACATTACATCTCATGAGCAAGGTCATAGTTAAGTAAAGTAATTAAAATAGTGCTGATTTAAATAAAATCCTCTTTTAACTCATCTGAAAAAATATATAAATGACAATACGCATTTGATGACAACTTAAAGTGAAAGAAATGAATGGAATAATGTCTTAATAACAAAAACGAAAGATTTATTATTTCATCCATAGGCTATTCGCCTGTAGCTGTACGTTTAAGCAGACCTTCTTCAAAAGCAACCATACTTTAATTGTTTATGTAACTGACAAAATAATATTTTTGGGTAGCTTTCCTTTTATAAGAATGGTTTGTAGAATAGCAAGTATCAATCACGATTTTTTTTGCAAGTTAAGCTTTTAATAAGTATTTAATAGTAATTTACTAAACGCATTTCTTGTTTAATATTTCCATTCCTTATTGAAGTCACAAAGTTTATGTTTTTGTATTATATAGTAATCATCATCATCAGCTTATTAATGTCCCCACTACTTGGGCACAGACCTTATCTATGGATGGAACTGACTTGCCATGCGGGCCAAGTGCGGGTTGGTAGGTGCTAACGACTGCAGATGCATCAGGGATCAACGACTGAACGTGTCTTCGGATGCACGGATGACTAACCATTGCAAAAGTTGCTTAACTTCAACGATCGCAGCCGAACGCGCTAACCACATGCACCAAAGAGCTCCTGTAAGTTAATATACTCATATAATGACAATGGTACATTTGAACTTCACAGGAAAAACGACAGTGATTGCACTACAATTATAGTTTCCAGGATAAAGCAGCCAATTAAAATAGGAACTTGGATCTTGAAAATACTAAACAGTAAGTCGGTTGCTTAGTTAAGAGAATTTTATATCTACACAATTTTATTAAACAGCTACCAAGGAAAAAATCTTAGTGGGCATGAGAGGTATTTATTTAAAGAAATAAAATGATCGTATTTTGTTTCAGACAACAACAAAAGATTACTCAAGGAAAACTGTTTAATAATTCAAAATAATAATATTTGTTATATTTGCTGGAATATGGAATATAGGCAGTAGATAGCGTACTTGATATCGATTACTATTATGAATTAATTCCATAGTAAAAATATAATATTTTTAAAAGGGAAATATTTAAATGATCCTCAAAAAAATATTAAATGATCACCTAAAATACATTTGGTAATCTTAAGGTTAGGTTGATTTTATTTTGTTGAGGATCAATTACTATTTTTGATAATCATTCAATCTAGAGATGAAGTCTGATTGATGTGGTGCTTCGGTTTGATCAAAAACTGGATAAAGCTTGTATTCCATAAAAATGTTGGTGTAAGTTGACCTGTATGTAATTTAGTGACAGGCAAACACAATTTATTAAATTTTGACATTTGACAAGCAAGAGGCGATATAAGTACTTCTTGGTACTGAACTGAAGGTTGTTATGTTAATTAGGATTGTAGTTCTACATAGTTCTATAAGGGCGATTTCAAATAAAACAGTAGAGATACGGCCATACTCACATATGTCCATTAATTTTGAGTTAGATACTGTCAAATTTCGATACCAATACAGAATAGAATTCCTATTTGCCGCTTAGTAAGACTCCTTGAAATAGAATTTTATTTTGAGTAGTATCGTTTAAACTTAAAACACTGAACGCTGATAAAGATTCGATGTATTTTGTAAAAAAATACAGCGAAAGGATGTGAATTTAAAATAAATTTTATAAATCAATATAATAGTATAAGTAAGTATAAATTTTATAATATGAGCGTTTGCCCATTAAACTTTAGCAAAAAATACTTTATTTTTGATAGGGACATAAGAATACAACGCTTGAATTTGAAATCTGTAGTACTTAAGGCAGGAGATAGGCTAGAGTAAGCAAAAATAGAGAAAGGATTCTTCCAGTGTCGCGCGCGTAAATATTAATTATTTAGGTTTAGTGATAAAAAATTTTCATTAGAACAAAAGAAATGCGCTCATTAGTTTGTCAGGAATGCGAGCGTTTGTGACTCTATCTCAAATACAAATTGGACACAACACAGTTGCAGAGATAAAGTCGATGACAAGTCGTGGCTTAAAATTTACTTAACATGAAGTCATCTTTCATTCCAAATAATTTTTAGGGTTCCACTTTGAGGTTCCACTCTGTATTTCCAACAACAGAACTCTTATAATATTACTTTGTTGTTCGTCTGTCTGTTGTCTGTTGGTCCGTCTATCCATCTGTCTGTTCGTCAGGAACCTATATAACGGAGCCGTGTGGAGATTTTGAGTTAAAATTTAAATCATATACTCAGGTCTGTGGTCCCTTGAAGCTGTGAAAAAATCAAACTTCTAAGATAACGCAATAAAGGATATTGGGCAAAAATGTATGGACGCTGCACCCACGTCCGCCACGGCTTAAACTACATATGTTTGAAAGGTATTATAGTCATGATCAGCCCGGTGGTCTTTAGTTATTTTTAGTTAAATAGGTACCAGTACTATAACGAACGAGCATTAGTGAAACAAGGGAATTAATTTAGTTAGTTTGACCCAACATAGAGGGCTCAGGTATTATGGGAGTATAGTGCGATTCAAATAAGAATAGGAAAGCCAAAGATCTCCATCTGTCAAATGTCACTTGAAAAGTACGGTTTGCAAAGTACGTTTGTTTTTTTTTCATTTATTGAGCTTTGGCTGTGGCTAGTTGATAACTTAAATCGTCAACCAAATGTCACTTTAAGTTGCATTCCAAATAATTAAATATGCCCATGTGTCATATATTTTGACTACCAGGATATTTTTTACGGTGTCATAATAAAAAAGGCTAGTTTTTCATAGATCTCTCGGTTCATACTAATTGCATTGTTGGCGGAGCTGGGTGTGTTTTGCCCATTGTCCTTTATGGATATGGTCGTTTATGTTGCGTACTTACAAAATTATATGGTTGAATGTGTTGGATAGAAAAATTACAGATCTTCAGTGCTTAAACTAAAGATTTCGGGTCAGG